GTTCATTCTTCTTCCAATGGAGATTGCATCCTTTTTTAACAGAGTATTTGGCAATGGCTTCTTTAAATTGAATTGCATTTTTAAAAACCATTCCAACTTCAAAGTGTGGAACTTCATAGTTGGGATCATAATGAAGGTGACTACTTGCAGTTCTCAGTGCATCATCTTTCACAAATGAGTCCAAGTCCTCAATCGAGCTATCACTATAGTAGCTACCAGGATCACTACTATCAACATATTCACTGTCCCTGTCACTAAAGTCAGAATCACTATTCTCCAAATTAGAATTTGCAACAAATCTAGGGCCTTCACCTTCAACATCTCTTATCACAATCCCTTTTGAAGCCTGGTTTGCATCAATGGAGTTTGAAAAAGGATTCAAGTTCTTCTTTCCTTTAGACACCTCTATCAGTTTTTGTTTGCCTTTTTCAATTGCTTTACTTGCTGCACAATTGGAAGTCTCAAAATCAGCATATCTTTGATTCATTTTCTTAATACCAGCCACCAGCTCATCGTCATCCACGTCACTTCCTAGCATGTCATGCTGAAATAAAGCCATTTTGCCATGCCTAGGGTGCGTTCTACTTGACCCTTCACCAGCATCAATATTTACCTCATAAAAAAAAGGCCTTACTGAAGTTTGTACTCCAATTTCTCCTTGCATGTTAGAGCTATCATGCTCCACATATACATGGCAAATTCCTAACTCCGTTAATATTTTTGCAACCTCAATTATCTCTACATCACCATTTAAAGGCAGTAAACCACTAGCAAAAGGCAGGTCAGGAACTTTGTAATACAATGCCCTTACTAACTGAATCCCGACCTCATTTAGTTTATCGATGATATCAAAATAGCATAGCTTGTCAATGTCATTAACTCCTAAATCACAAGTTTCAACTCCAACATAACGTGAAACATCTCTTCTAACATGTCCAGCATAATGGATACAGATCTTAAATGCTGCATCATCATCCGACATTGTTGTTTTTAAATGACAAAAAAACACTAAAACAATAAATGAATCATCCATAATATTGTTAAATATAACTACAAATTCATGGATTTCACCCCAAACTCCCCATCTATTAGTCCCTTTTGCATGTCCGTACAAAACCCAAAGCCGTTAGACCCACATAATAGTAAATTAATCATTAATCACATACTTAAATCTCAAAGTTTAGATTAATAGATGAATAAAACTCTAATACCCATTTCACCCCATGTGCTTTAAAACTTATTCAATGGTTGAGTAATGAAGT